CGAAACTGGACCACGGACATCCTCTAACACACCTGAAAACAATCTGGATAATTCCGCAGCTCCTTCCTAAAACAGGTTGAGACTCTCCTCGCTCCTGTCACGGACCCAGTGTTTTCTTTTTCTTAGACAAGGAGTAAATTAACAAAAAAGTCATCTTGGCTGGGGCGCTGGGGTGGTTGGCGCCCCATGTGTGGAGGCTGTGGTCTTTCGGGCAGGCGGCCCGGGTTCGGGTCCGGTCTGTGGCTACTTTCCCGCATGTCATTCCCCACTCTCTCCCTCCCTGATTTCCAACTCTATCCACTCTCCATTAAAGGAACAAAAAGTGATCTTGGCTCCTTGATTACTCCATTATGTCTGGAAACTGCAATTCATAGAAAGGTTTCTATTTGTAACGTATTTTATCAGACTCAGGGTGTAAAGACCTTTAGAATAACAATCTGAGCTCGGTGGAAAATACGGCAATCAGCCATTCAGCCCAAAATATCCTAAATAAAGTACCCAGGTTTAAATGTTCCAGATCATCCTTCAATTTAGCTTTAATTGGCGTTCCAACAATACTTGATTGGTACTAAGGGACCAAAAGTGTGCCAAGAAATGACTGAATATCTGAGGAAACAAACATATACATAATATGGGTTTCATTTTCTAGCCTCAAAAGCTTTCTGTATCTGTTCCCAGGCATACACACAGGGATTTAAAACAAAAAACAACGATACCAAAACCACAGAAGAAGAAAGGAGTCAGATTTGTATGTAAAAGGGATGAGGAAACCTCAGGGGGGTTTGAGTCTCCTCACGTCAGAAACCAAAGACGAATAGTGAAGATGATGAAAAGGAAAACGGTAACAAAACAAGGGATGATGAAGATCAAAAGGAGAACGTGGGGATCGGAGGAAGTATAGTGATATACAAACGAGGTAGTCCTCCCTTCCCTCTTCAGGGTTTTACAGGATCAGATTTCCCGGTTTCCCCCTCTCCGTGCGAAGGCATCACAGTGCTTTCAAGGGCGTTGGCAGCTGCTGGAGTTTCCTCTCTTCTTCACCTCCTTCTGTTAATCGATCTTCCTCTTTCTCTCTCTCCCTCACTCTCTCCATCTCATAGGCACTTTTTCTCTCCATCTGAATGAAACCCAACACTCCTCTTTCAGGCTTGTCCATCACCCCCCCCCTCTCTCTCTCTGTTTCTCTGTCACTTACTCTCTCTCTCGCCCTCTCTCTCTGAGTGAAACGTTACACTCCCATCCCTTCATCTCTCCTCCGTCTCTTTCCCATCCCACCATCTGCTTGAGTCTGACATCAAATCGATCGTGTTTTTAGACGTCTTTTTTTCCTTCGTTTTTTCATGTTTTGGCTGTGAGGCTGTCGGCCATGTTTTTTTGTCCTCCTCTGAACCCACCTGAGCTTCCTGCTCTCCTTCTGCTCCGAACCTCTTACTGTTGTCTTACTGCGTGTGTCATTGCTAATATAAAATAAAGCTGTTTTTGATCATATTTTTTCAATATAGTCATGATATGAAATCATTTTTTTAAATAAAATTACAAACAAAAGTAACTGGGCCACATGATTTATAATTTATCATTTCTATTAACAGATTCTCCATAACCTTTGTATTCAGATTTAATCAGCCATTCAGCAGGCTTTGCTTAAGGCCTGCACAATAAATTGATTTTGAATAGCAATCACGATTTTGGCCTTCTCACGATCAAAGAAATATGATTGATGGCGATTATTTACATTTAAAATGGATTCTTAGCCTGTTTAAACATTCTGTGTGGTTGTCTATGTTGAAAAAAGTAAAAAGAAATACATTAACCTATTTAAATCATGTAAGAATGATTTAAATAGGTAAATTGTGATTTATCATTTGGACCCAAATCTTGCAGGTCTAAATTATTCCACAAATAAGTAGAAAATTACAATTAGAGAATAATAGCTATAACTTTATTAAGTAGCAATACACCAACTAAAATAAATGTAATAGATGACGTAGCCAAGGTCAACTAAAAGCACGGCAATAAATGATGGTTCAAAAGAATCACAAATAAACAGATGTTGGATCAATTACATGTGATAGCAGATAATTTACTGGAGTTATTTTGTTTGTGGTTTTTAATGCAGCAAAGTTTGCATCACATTACATTAAAACCCAATATGCAAATGTATTAAGATATAATATGCGTTTACAACTAATGTTTTTTTCTTGTATTTCCCTTTAGTTTTTAATTTAATGTTGGCTAGTAACCATCAAACGATCCACTCTGTAATGAACCCATTTATCCGAGCAGCTGTAATAAAACCTACAGATCTCCCTCTGTGAGCGTCTCCTCCGAGGTATTTCAAGACAAACCCTTGCTTAAACTTGGATGTGCCTAAGACTGAACAAAAAAATTAGTTGTCATCTCATCTGTCTCAGTTTAGATTAAATTGGTGCAGCGAGCTATTCATAGAATTTTAATTGCTTTGGATGAAAATCCTCCTCTCTGTGTGTTCACACAGCTACACTTAATCATCGTTTTCCCTTTAGGAAAGCACAAATGAAAGCTGCTCGGTTTAGGAGTTGGAGGCTTTATTATGCTGCTGTGGCAGAGGTGTGTCACCTGCTTCATAGAAACTGTGACGCAGACACATGTTGGAGCTGCAGCAGCGCTCATTCAGGCAGTTAGGATACATTTTTTAAGCCAAATTGCTGCAATTGAGCCAGAAATTGAATATCTCTTGTGAGTCATGACCCAAAAACAACTGAAAGCACACAAAGAACACTTTCTTTGTGAGTGGATCAGATTTCCAAGTGTCCATAACTGATATAGTTCAATCAGTCATCTTAAGAGATCTGCTCCTGACTTCATTTGAAAACCTGGTCCCTATTTTAAAAATATTTTGTAGTCTGAATTGTCTGAATTAACAAAAAGGTGTAGGTTAAGGGCGATAATTCTCCTCGTATGATCTGTCTCTGGACCAAACTGACCCAAGGACACTTGGGAAACTTGCTCAAACAAAGTTCCTGTGGTTCAGTGGTAGCGTCGGTCGTGTCTCAACTGGAAGGTCTGATGTTCAATCCCCAGCTCCTGCAGCCACATGGCGATGTGTCCTTGGGCAATACACCTAAACCCAAGTTGCTCCCACTGCTCAGTCTTTGGTTTGTGAGTGTGGATGAATGACTTAATACTGTTGGACTCTGAACACAGCAGCCTCTGCCATCAGTGTGTGAAGAGCTTTGAGCAGTATTCTGACAAGAAAAGCACTATACAAGTCGATTTACCAATTTACAGAGTCCATTTAGTCATATTGTTTTTAGAGAGGTGATGAAGAAGTAGATACGTCAGAGATACACTGTTAAAAAAACCTCAGGTACTGTAGATTGAAGTATCTATATAATCGGAGCTGCAGGTTAACTGCTCCTCTTTCATCTTCATCACTCATCTTCAGTCTTCTTTCCCTTATCCCTCCATCCATCTGCCTGCATACCACTGTGTGTGTGTGTGTGTGTGTGTGTGTGTGTGTGTGTGTGTGTGTGTGTGTGTGTGTGTGTGTGTGTGTGTGTGTGTGTGTGTGTGTGTGTGTGTGTGTGTGTGTGTGTGTGTGTGTGTGTGTGTGTGTGTGTGTTCATGTATGACAGAATTTTTCGTTTATACTTCATGCATAATGTAACATGTGCATATTTATGGCACGTTTTCCAGTTAACTTTGCAGCATGTATTTGTTTGTGTGTTTGTGTGTGTGTGTGTGTGTGTGTGTGTGTGTGTGTGTGTGTGTGTGTGTGTGTGTGTGTGTGTGTGTGTGTGTGTGTTACAGGTGGTACTGTATCGACCCCGCCCCCCTCCAGCTATGTGGGCTGGATAATGGAGACATCAATTATTCAACAACGACAAAGTCTATCACATGAAATACCGTTCACTGTGTGTGTGTGTGTGTGTGTGTGTGTGTGTGTGTGTGTGTGTGTGTGTGTGTGTGTGTGTGTGTGTGTGTGTGTGTGTGTGTGTGTGTGTGTGTGTGTGTGTGTGTGTGTGTGTGTGTGTGTGTGTGTGTGTGTGCGCGTGTGTGTACACAAAAGTAAGAATTGTATTTCTCTCTCCCTCTACCTCTCTCTCTCTCTGACATTTCCACTGAAAATACTGATGTTCAATTATTTACGAGCGTCAAAAGGGCGAGAGAGGTAGAGAATGAATGCAGGGTGAGAGAGTGGGAGAGAGAGAGAGAGAGAGGAGGGGTTGTATTGTGTTGTATTTATGTTATTGTGTGTGTGTTTGTGTTTTATTGCTCCTTATGTCACTTTGCCGACTGGTGGAGGAGGAACAGGATTAAAGAAGAGGAGAAAAAGATCTATAGGACATGAGGAGATAAAACGAGGAGACAAGGGAAGGAAAAATGGGAGGGAGGAGGGAGGAGCAGAGAAGAATTAGGTAAAGAAAATGGGATGAAGAGAAAGGTGACAGAATGAGGAGTTTTGCGATACGATACACTCACTGTATTGTCCCCTTGTGGAAAGAAACTAGGCAAAGGGAGAAAACGAGAGGTGTGGGAGGGGGGAGAAGATGAAAGGAGATAGAAAAGTGGGTGAGAGAGGAAGGAAGAGGAGGAGGAGATGGTGAGGGTCTTTCCATATGTGAAAAGGGCTATGAGATGAGAGAAATGGGGAAAAGGAGGAAAAATGAACATGCAGAGGAAGATGGTGAGAGGAGGAAAGAAGCAGGAAAGGAAAATGTCATGTGAGGGGGAAGGTGTTTGTTGGTTAGTTATTGGAGGTCATTAACACTCTGTAGCCAATGAGAATCAACTATTCACACTGACTTTGGTTTAATAATGAAGGTGTTTACAGTTTATTAATTCAGGTTAAAAAAGAAGACAAAGACTGAAACTAAAAAAGATCTTTGAAAGTATGAAATATTTTGAGGAATACATTTAAATGGGAAAATGTCAGAGGTACTAACTATCTCTCTCTCTTTTCTCTCTCTCTCTCTCTCTCTCTCTCTCTCGCTCTCTCTCTCTCTCTCTCTCTCTCACAGGACCAGGAGGCGGAGTCAGTGTTACCGCATCATCTACCGTCACATGGAGCGGACTCTGTCCCAGCAGGAGGTCAGACTCGTCCACGAGCAAATCGAACGCTCCGCCCAGACTGAGTTGGGCGTTCAGGGCAGATACTGACACATTCACACATATACAGTATGAACTTCCTCCTCTCTCCTGTGTTTCTCTTTTCAGGCTAAAAAAATAGACGCCTATGGTGGTCCTGCATCCATACTTTTAATTAATTTCGCTCTCTCAGGTTTACGGATAGCATCAACCTATCTATCTTGTATTTCCAGAGTGTCAGAAGCACAAACAAACATCTAATCTAAACTTACCATGTTGTGGTCTGGCCGATAACAGTAGGCAGAGTCCTGTTTTGTCTTCTAGTTCACCAGAATGTTTTTCCGTTCTTTCAAGAAAACAACATATTCGATATCTCCAAATAACGAGAAAATCAATTAACATCGCAAGAACACAACTGAAATGAACTCAGTATATGTTTGTGCCTCTGATTAACAAAAACAAGCAGATGAAAGTTCTGTCAGTGTGAACAGAAAGCTGAGAACAACGAACCCAGAGGGAGTTTGGCTTCAGTCTCTGTTTAGGAAGTTTTTCCTCCACAATATATTTACATTTAATTGATTTTTGCTGTATTGATATACAGACTGTAGCATATTAAATAATTAAATCTGAAATTAAAAAGTAGTCAGTTTTCAAGAACTTCAGCCTGAAGTTACAGAGAAAGATATTTGTTTTATCTGAACTTGAATAAACACTGAACACACAAAAACATGAACTCCAAAAACCATAAAAAGTTTTCTTTGTTATTTCAAGCGGAAAGTATTTGTTGCTTTACCTGAAGCTTTGGTTTTATGTTTTCGTTTTTTCAAGGTTTGAATCTTTAGTTTGGACATTAAATCTGTTTCTCACATTGTTGTCACTGTGTGTTTGTTTTGTTTACAACCAAAGAAGAGACACCTCTCCATTTACTTGAGTTACCTTGGAATCACCACTGTGAAATCTTTACAGGGCAGGTGTGTGGTCTCACGGTCTGGCCAAATCGTCAAGTGTTCGTCAGAGGATTACTTTGTTGTAATTGGTTGGCACTGTCCTAATGTTTGCAGTCTCCCACATTTTTAAATCTGTTTAGAACTGAAAAATCATAAATACCAAACATAATAAAAAAAACAAGGTTTCACTTTCACAATAATTCATTAAAATCTGTAGGCAGAGTAAAAGTAAAATAACCTTAAACTGATTTATTAAGCTTCATGTAATATCCTGTATGCCTCTTCAGAATCAAAAAGTTTCCACCATTAAATCTCTCCCCACAGATTTTCAGAGTTTGACTTGTTGCACAGTAAACACAGCATCTTAATTTTAGATAACGTTCAGTCTCTGGCAGTAACTTTGGCTAAAATTCACAGTGAAGCCAAAATCAAAAGTTTGGCTAGTTTTTATTTAATCTGGCAGATATGATTAGTTTTGAGGGTTGTGATATTTTGGGTGACTTTTTGTACCATTAAGACATTTTATATCAATCAAAAAGTAGTCCATCCGGTTTAGTTTTTTTCAGTTTTTGCTGCTCCTGTGTTTCAACTTTTCTTATTCTGTTCTTATTCTTTGATAAGAGCCTTTAATCTGAATATGTTAGAAAATAAGATACAGACAGCAGCTGCATAACAGAAAGATTAACCTTTTTCTAAAAAGTAGTCTTGAAAATCAGGAGGTCGTTTTATATTCAGGTCATTACGGTAATCAGAGGACAAGCTGGCAAGCTCTTACTGTCCAATATTTTAATAGTTTTTATAAATTTGATGGTCAGTTGTAAACCTCTTTTCCCTCCTAACATGTCACACCCTTCTGCAGATCCACACACACACACACACACACACACACACACACACACACACACACACACACATGTACACGTACACACAGAGCCATCCAAATGCCACTCTGTCAGTTATTCTCTGCCAGTGTTGAGGCATTAAATGGCTTCGCCTGTCACTCCAGTCAGCCCTGCAATGAATCCTGGGAGCTCTCTGCATAGTGAGTTTTTACACACACATACTGTACAAACACACACACGCTCACACACACTAATTTAAATACAGCTCGTTAGAAAATACACTCTTTCTCTCTCTCACACACACACACACACACAGTATAATAACCAGCTCTCTGTCAGTGTGCCGAGACGATGCGCTGGCTTAGACTGCTACCATCATACACTGGCATACTGGAACTTCTCACACAAACACACACACGCACATACACACACAGTTACAGGCAAAGGGCACTGTGCCAATCATGCAGTGGGAGGCTGTCTGCCTTCGATGGCTCTGCTCGTCACTCTGGTCGAGTTAAAACTGAGCTCTGACAGTTTGAGGCCATGCTTACACACACACACACACACACACACACACACACACACGGTCAATACACACTTATATGTTTAAAAACAGATTCCAGATTTCGAACAGAAAGTATCAACGGCATACCAGAAAAAGTAAAAGTTATCAATTACATGAACATTTCATCTGATGTAAACCGATGTTCACATTTAGTTTGAACGTGAAAGCTGAAAACTTTACGGTATATATTCAGGATAAATGTATTTAGCTTGTTTCAAGGAAAACGCACACTTTGTTTGTGGAATTACCTAAATAAGACATAATCAGAACATGACCCAATCATAGAGTACATCTGCTATCGTCTGAAGGTGACATACGGTGAACTTCTCGGTATTTCTGATGTAACCAGCGTAAAAATGTAACAACATCCTTTTTTTTTTTCTGCGCTGCATTGTTTACAGTCCGAACAGCTACTTGAGAAGCAACAGTGGGTTCAGATCAAAAATGATTTATCCCCCTCCAGATCTGTCTGCAAAATGAACTTTTCTCATTTCTTGCTTCACTCCAGTCCTCAGAGGAGCGCCACATGTCCATCTGTTTCTGGTGAGTCTCAGTTTAACTGTAATAGAGACTTCACTCTGGATTACTTCAGCTGTATGAACCGGAAAAAGGAACTTTTTCTTGTTTTACTACATTAACGGGTCTTATATCTGCTGAAATAATGAATAAAAAGTCAACAAGCTTTGTTAGGTCTGTCCTCCAAATGTGAAGGAAGCTACTTTTAACATTTTTGTTTGTTGAATGGAGTTCAGATTGATGATTCCTGATTCGTATTTGTTGTTCGTGTAAATGTTTGATCGAGAACCAATGTAAGAACCTGTTAGCTGCTCTTTTACGCTTTGCTAGTCAAACGTCAAAGAATGAACGCCATAATGTAAAGCTACAAGAAGTTAAGTTATTCAAGTGTTAGGCTAAAGCAGCAGTGTATGATTTACTGTTTTATTTATTTCACCTCTTTTTTCACTTCGTTTGTTTAGACAGAAAAGTGGATAAAGTAGGAAACTAGGAGAGAGAGTGGGTAATGACATGGAAAAAAAAGAAGCCACAGGTGAGATTTGAACCCAGGGTACCCGCTTGGAGGAACATAGCCTCCGTACATTGGGGTGTGAAATAACCGCTAGGCCATGAGCCTCTTTCTTTTTTCCTAATATTCCCTCTTCACTCCCTTCTGTGACTATAATCAACAAACTTTGGTTTTCACGGAAATGATACATGCTGCTCTTGTCAGTGAGTGCTGTCAGACGGACGGGGCGCCCTCAGGGAGGTTTCCGACTGTCATTGCAAACTTTGCACATATGGAGCCACTGCTGTGGTTTAAAGTTTGTCAGCCCTCAGGGGCCCGACGCAGGTGGCTGCCATGCCTGATCACGAGCAGCATCTCTGTGCTTTTGTGTAGTCATGAGAGAACAACACAATCCAAAAAGTAAATAACTCATTACATGATGATCTTCTGTGTGTGTGTGTGTGTGTGTGTGTGCTGTTGTTTCAGGCCTGGGGTGTGTTTGTGTGTGCTGTGATAATAAAACCTCCTCCGTCACGCTCTCCTGCAGAGCTGGGATTTAAAGTAATTAGCGTTAAAAAAAACAACAACAATGTAAGTGGTTAAATGTGAGCCGCTCCTCCTGTCCAACACGTGTTTCTTTTATTTTCTGCAGACTGACTCTTTTGTCCTTCAGACGTCAAACTGACACAGAGTGCTAGATTACTTTGAAGACACCTTCACACCTACTGACTCTCTCACGCACACAATATATATTTTTCTACACACACACACACACACACACACTCTCTCTATCTCTCTTTCTCTCTCTCTATGTCTCTCAGGTGGGAGTCCTGAGGGGTTCACCCTCCTGTGTGTCTGCTCAGAGTTGATTGGATCTTGTTCAGAGACACAAAGTGACCTCTGCCGCGACAGACCTGTGCGTGCAGAGACACAGCAAACACGGCCACAGACAGATTTTACACACACAGAACTGTTTTAGGCTCATTCAAGGAGATTGAGATTTTCTATTTTGGATTAGAAATATTGGAGCCACCAGCATCAGTGACATTTGAGGCAGATTCAAGGTTGAAAGATTGAAAGATGTTTTAGGGAGATCTATTTGAGCTTAGACAAAGTTAACATATGTAGGGTCAAAAATGCACTTGTATCTTATTTTAAAGAGCCCATATTCTGCCCTTTTTGGGGTTCGTATATTTAATCTATGTATCTACTTTTGTACGTTCACAATAGCTAAAGTCTGAAAAAAGTGTCTGCTTTCATGTACTGCTCCTCCTTGCTCCCTCTACGCTCTGAGTCCGTCAGCTACACTCTGCTGAGCCCACACTGTTAGACCCCACGTGGGCCAAGTCTGCTCTGATTGGTCTGCTGATCCGCTCTGTCGTTATTAGTCCAGTTGCTCTGCACACTTCTCGGAAATTTCAACATGAGCTGCAGGGCTTGCCACAACGAGCCAATGGACTTAGATCAGTGATCTCACACTGACAATGACGCCGCACTGACAAATTTTTATCGAGGGGGTCTCGAACCGAGCATTACATGCAGCTAATGCTACAGCTAACAGGAGGATGTAGGAGAAGATGCGTTTCCGCGGACTTTGGATTTTTGCACATAGACGTGCCTAAACATGCACAGGACACTTGGAAAACACACTGAAGAGCATATAAAACCAGAAAAAGCATAATATGGGACCTTTAAATTACACAAAAGAACCTGGCAATTGTCTGTTGTTTGATTTTTTTTGTCTTCAACTTTTGTTGGAAAGCGTCACAATGTTTTAAAGACATTTTGGGAAGTTTAGGGCCAACTTAGGAATGTTTAAGGTATTTAAGGGTGTTTTATGGGTCTTCTCTGTTGATTCTGGTTGGGTTTTTTTAAGTAGCTGTTTAGGATATCTAATGTTGAACAAGTTTTTAATTCTACAGAGAAAGTTCTATATCCACCTTCACTGATTCATGTTAGGACAAGGAAGTTCAGATGAGTTCTGTGCTGCTGACTTTGATTTAAATCTGATCTTTGATTGGTTGCATCACGTCCAGCCTCTGTCACAGCCGTTGGATTATTTTATACCATGTCTCTAGTCTGTCGACTTCCCCCGCTGCATGTTGGGATTTGCTCCGTTTGCCATGATTCATGAGGAAACTGTTTGACTGGTTGACTGACTGCCTGAATAAACCAGCAGAAGCTGTGACATGTCACACACTGTTTTTAGTTATAGAATAATTCAACATTTACACTCCAATGAAAAAACACAAACAGACAGAAACTTGAACTTAAAGTTATAACAGCTTCCAAAAGCTCCATAGTAGGGTTGGTTTTATTTATATACATATTTTTAAAAAGGATTTCCTTCTGAGCCACAGCTGCAGATCATATTCATGACAGAAACCAGACTCCAGAAGATCTTAAAAAAAAACAATACTGTGATGCTTTACAACAAAAGTTGAAGACAAGAAAATCATACAACAGGCAATTGCCAGGTTCTTTTGTGTAATTTAAAATAAGATACAGGTG